AGCACCAATTTGTATGACTTCTGGGAGCGTGATGTAATATACGATAATGGGTAGACTGACTATACTTTGTCGTGCTTACTGCTGCTAGATCTCCTCGGCTGTTAACCTTGATACGCAACTTGTTCTGGATGCATATAACACTGAGTTGGATAAGCTAGTCCTAAACGGTGGGTATGGCATACAGCTAGTGAAGAAGATCTACAGCAAAGGTATTACTCGTGGGCATGCTGTACTGCTTTCGAAGGCTGTTGTCATTATAGGTATAGCTGAGTGGATAGCAGAATCCATGGAGATGTCGTGTAGTGATATCTATTCTGTGATTGCTGGTGGTAGAGGACGAGAGGTGCCTAGAACGTAATGTCTAAGAATGAGCCCTATTCTTGATGCATAATGGTGAAGTCTATAGGTACCAGATAGATGATGAAGTCCATGCGAAATGGCGTGACCTAGCGACCAAACAAGTGGTGAAGGCCGCTGCAAGGTCAGCTGTTGTACTGCATGGAATTGCTGTACATGTAGGATTCGTTCTATTATCCGCCTATTATGATCCCTTCATCAGGCACGATACTACCACCCTGAGATCGTTGGTAGCATATCTAGATCGAATAAGATGCAGCGTCATGGAGTTCGTGGCAACTGGATGCAAGCCCTTGCTAAGAACTTCATCATAGCCGCTGTTATAGTACCATCCATTGTGATATTCCTCAACTATCCACAGTAGCCATCCATATCGAGTGATCTCCGCACATACTACTGTATAATCATATCTTCAGGTTTGTCAAGCGTTTTATGTCCAATAAAGACAACAGATCAGAATAGCCTTAGCTGACTTCTATGGTGGGATTCTACTCCTTACATTCGGGTAGAGCGACAGCAGTGTTCTCGATTTTTGAATAACCATTCCGCAGTTACACTTTTGTTGTAATTTGAACCATCACTTACCTTACTTTTCCGTGTGGTTGCGATAATGGCTTTGCGCTGGGGATAATAGAGCCGAAGATTATACTTAACAACACAGTAGTTTTTAACCACACCCTTTCTTCTTCTTCTCCTCCTCCTTCTTTCTGGCTCCTACTAGGGGAAGTCTTGATCTTGTATTATTTCCTCATCATCCACGTCATCACTGTCTCTATCGACTACTAGTATACAATGA